GGTTTTAAACGGAAAGAGGGGAGATTCAGACTGGACAGAAGGAAGAAATTGTTTGTGCTGAGGGCGGTGAGGCCCTGGCCCAGGCTGCCCAGGGAAGTGGTTGAGTCCCCATCCCTGGAGGTATTTAAAGAACGGATAGGTATGGTGCTCGAGGACATGGTTTAGTGGTGGACTTGGCAGTGCTAGGTTAACAGTTGGACTCGATGATCTTAAGGGTCTTTTCCAACCTTGACAATTCTATGATTCTATGATTCAACATATCTTAACTTTGTAGATACTCAGAGTGGACACTGTGCCATAAGAAGTGGTATATTTGCAGATTATCTTACCTTCTATCATAAGTAAAGTATCTTCAGGCTGTTGAAGCATTTCATCATGCTTTACAAAATGGATAGCTATTTTCCTTTGTTTCTGGTCTTGTGTAGTCCACATTGCAGAATCATACCAGGATGTATTGTGTAATTCTGGATTTGGGGCAGTAACGGCAGAGCCTTGTAAAATAAAGTCAAAGTCATCTCCATCTGGAACTTCTTGCCTAAAACCATTTCCAAAATGAATAAGTAAATTCTAACAGCTTCTCCTTAGGCAATCTAGCAACAAGTACAACAGTACTCTGAAAAAATATTAAAATATAGTCATAAAAGTTAATGTATATACAGGAAAAATAACTGTTGTTATATCAGTTTAAACATTTAGAGTTGTATAGCAAATTATGACAAGACAATTCATTTCCATGTTAATAAATATGCAAAGTAATCTAATCTTACCTAGGAGCAGAGGCAGCCTAGCTGCTTCATCCACACATACATAAATCCATGGAAAAATGAATGTATCAGCTTTATGTGATTGCAGTTGGGCCTTAAAAGGGCCATACAACTGCATACCACTTCAGCAGAATGAAAAGACTGTATAAGCTCATACAATTTCAAGTTCTATGTTCTAGCCTATTTTACTTTGCATATTTGGGGGGGGGGATGTGTGTGTGAGAAAAAAGGGCAGGAGTAGAATAGCTTCACATATGTACTGTAAATGGAAAATCTGCAACTCTGCACCACACTGTTTCTCTCCTGTCCTGCTAGAGTGCACCATTCATGCATTTCCAGTTGTCATCCACAGAGAAGTAATGCAGGCCATTCAAATTTTACCAACATTACCAACAACAGGCAAAAAGCCAGTGGCTGGCGCACAAAAATGCATTAGAATGTTTTCTCCTAAGCGAGACAGACCTGCTAGCTTCAGATGGAATATGAACCGTGACAAAAAGGACAATGAAAAAAAAAGGCAAAAGCTTGGGCTGTTTCATAAAACACTGAAAGAAAGTAGGTGCCAAGCTTCAGAGTGCAGTTAAAGAAAAAAATACTATCAACTCCTGCAGATTATTCTGACGATTTCACTTTCAAACCCAAGAGCATCTGCTTCCACCAGTGAATAGCACAATTCCTGCCTATGGAACCAAACTTTGCTATTCTTCTGCTAGGACTGTAGAACTGGCACACAAGAGGTCTTCCTGAACCTGAACTTTCATTTCATGAACACACTGCTGTTCACATGAACTCTTTCCACCTGTGTTCTTGGATTACTATTTTAAATGCAAAAGCAATGGACATAACATAACAGGTCATCTTTCCAGATATACCCATTAAACTCTTCCAGCCTCTACAGCCTGCCTGTAGATTTCCTGCAAAGGCACGAATGGAATGAATTGGTTTTGAACCAAGCTACACACGAGGGTTGAAACTTCTGTAATGTGGATACATGAATAAAACTACATCCATGTATATCGATATTTTGCTATTTACAGAGAAGCTTCCAGTCAAAGACTAAAAAACAAAAACACATCTCTCACAAGGATTTATACCTGAAGCGTTACATGCATCTTACTGCATAGAGTGTTAAAGGACCAAACTTGTATTGAACTTCGTTCAGTCAGGCTCTTCAGCATATGCTAAAACATGAAACAACAATTTCCGCCAGAGCAGAACATGTAGGAGAGAAGGATGCCCCTAAATCAGGTTTCCTTCCTGGGCCTCTTAACTCACCCAGTCCAGGCTGCAGTACAGTTTCACTATATTTCACTGATTCCTCCCACCTGATTCACACAGTTGAGATAAGAAAAGCTAAATTTCTCGGAAAGCACTGCAAGTAGTCCCATCACTGCAGCAGGATGGTGGTAGTAGTAGTAGGAAATATGCTAACTAAAGCCTCACAAATCTATCTGGTTAAAAGCCTGCACTAATTCTGTGGCAAAGAGCAGGCAGCAATATGTGAAACAGGAGGAGACTCAAATGAACAGAAATGAAGACATTAACAAGTAAGAATATATAAAAAGGCTTTAGTAGTCATGGAAAATTGTGGGATAAGGATAAAGTTCATAAGGAACAAACAAAATTCTATCAATTGTAGCTGCTTATTACTATACAGAGTTGGCAAATATATCAAAAAAAGTAACAAAAGTGGCAGAGAGAGTTGGTAATTATCTCCTTTCTATACCTGGCAATAAAGACCATGTACTTATATGTTGTGAAGATGATGAAGCACTTCCTCTCACATTAGCAACCAAGAGAATGTTATAACAACATCTGATAAGGACAAATATTGTTAAAGCTGCAAGCATGCTACTTTGCATCCAAAAGCTGTAAGAGAAGGATAGTACGGGCATTTTTTTGTCTCAGTGGCATTTGTATCTAATAAATCTTGATTGTGCAAAAAATTTCAAAAGGCTAGGAGAATGCTAACGTGCCATCATTTAAAAAAAAGCAATAGTTTACACCAGTAACAGTAAAGCTGTTTGCTTGGGACTGATGCTGGGCTAAGTCAGGCAAAAAAAAGTGATACAGGATTCAGATGATCATGAATAGCACTGTAATGCATGTCACTCAGTAGTTTAATCAAAAACAGGCCCTTTCAAAAAAAATTTCTTTCATTTTTAGATGAATATACACCAGAAATGGTGTATGATTATTGGATACAATGACAAACGGCATTAAAGTGGAAATAACAATGATAAAGTGGTCAGTGAACTAATTGAGGTCAAAAAAAAGACAAAAATACCAGGGTGAATGGTGTTTCCCTGATATTTTTGGATCCAGAAAAGATGACTTCTCTGGAAGATACACTTTAGTCAAAGATATTTTATTCATTCACTTGGAGACTATCATACCTTTTTGCATATCCTATTTTAAAACCACAATACAGAAACGAGTACTTAAATACAACTTTGGTATGGGAAAAACTGCACTGCTAAATTTGAAAATAAAGAAAAGTTATTGTTTTGAAAGAACTCAAAGGATTCTGTAAATGTAACTCATCTATGATTACATTTTTCCTACCTATTACCAGTGAGTTTCAAATCTTTGCTCAAAATGAAATACATTTAGATTCAGCGTATTTTACACAAAAAAGAGGATGAAAATACACTGAAAATCTAAGCATCCCAAAACATATAGAACAATTCCTAATTACTTTTATTGTGTGAAACACTTACAAAGAGTTGCATTTGGAACAATGAAGTTTAATACACTGATAGAGCTTCTGGGGTTTATAAGTCCTCAGCTTTGCTCTAATGCGATACTGTTGAGGAGCCGTGCTGTTCAGAATGGTTTTCAGTTCTGTGTTATTCAAATCCTGATGATCTGTTAATACTGCAAAATAACAATACACACACAAGAAAAGCCATGCATACCTATTAAACACCATAATATTTGGAATACAGGAGATAGCCATTGCAGGTATGCATTTTCCCTTAATTCCCAGCTCCTCTTCCCCTCCCAGTCACAGCCTCAGTTTTATCATGTTACTACAGCCTTTAAGATAAATCACAACAGGCTGTGGGTGCATGGTGTACTTCAGGGTACAGAAATTCAACATGTAGAAAAATACAAATGGAAGTAGAATATATAAATATGCTCTATTCCTTTAAATACAAAATAAACCAATGTAACATTCATAAACTTATACTCTTAGAATAGCTCTTCCTATAATAAGTAAAAGATGTTATTTCAACCTCTGAGCTGATGTCTTAGAAATATTTTTGTTCTGTAGTAAAAATAAAATTCCCCTTGAGGTCCAAATGTTTCCTACCTGTAACAGATAACTGCTGACATCTCTGTAAGTGTGATTCAAGATCTAAAATCAAGAAGAATTTCCTAATTATTTTTCTTCCTTCTGTTGTTCTTTATCATGTGGACACACAAAAACAGATAGATAGGCAAATAGATACACATACAAAACCAAAAGCTGAAAAAAGGAAAATGGAAATCCTAATAATGTATGAAAACAACACAGCAAAAGGAAAAAGCAAAGTAAGCAGGAGAGAAGCATTAGATTTCAAGAATTAATGTATTTGAGGAGAAATTAGTGTATACCTTACTTAGCAATGCTCATCAAAATGAACACTTTTCAAATCTATACTGTGAATGATACTGCTGACATAAACTGTATTCATCCCCCTGTAATCTTTCTGGACAAGAGCATAGACACATTATTCTAAAAACAACATAGACTGCCTGGTCCCTCCTCTGAACAACCTCTACTACGCAAACACAGTGCAGAAAATATGTGCAAAATTCTTTCTAAATTTGCAGTGTTATGGTCTAGACATGAAGTATTTATTCTTGACTTTTGCACCCTTTTAGAAATATCCTGTCACAGTATGTTAATAATGGCTAAGTAACATAGGATTTTAAAAGCTAGAAGCAAAGATGAAGACTACATCCAACCAGCTTTAGAGTTTAATTCACTTTTAGTTATTCTTATTCTGGGCTAAAAATACCATTCAAAGAATAATATGGGATCTGTAGAACCATCTATAAGATACTCCTTTTCCATGGCACTGCACCATGCAACTCTGCCACTGACACAACTTTCCATCCAACTGCTTTAGAAGGGTTCCTCAGCAAGCAGCTGTTTAGTAGTGTTTTCAGTGCCTGTCTCTGAGGAATCCCCCTTCAGAGGGAGGGAGTTATGTCACTTTGCTTTCTGATCTAATATAGTATGATTAAGAACACCATCTGTGTTTAATAATTTATTCACTACCTCCTATGAAAGTATTTTTCCATGTATATGAAAGCCTTCTGCTGCGAGACAGAAGGATAGGGTAATGTCAATTTCCAGTCTAATAATCCAAAATAATTCTCTAAGGCTTTGTATGTGAAAGTAACATTATACACTTAGAGAAGCAGTAACTGACCTTATCTTGACCAGATATATGTTAGAAGGGCAAATCAGCTTTCAATTGCTTACCTGTAACATTGTTAAAAGTGCCATCTAATTCCATTGAAGACATGCTTTCTATATTCTGACTGTCTGCCAGATCCACAGATTCTAAGAAACTAAAAAAAAAAAAAGACTAAATATTTTAGAACCTAGAGAAGTCTTTATATATACACACACACACACACACACACACACATATGGGACTATACATACACTTATATGAAACCTACTGTTTATACCTGTTTATACACAGATATAATGTTCAGACATAAATTTTCCAGCAGAGACATAAAACTCAGTTGAGACAGAAGTTGCAGGAGTGTATATTAATAATGCAGATGAGACACTCCTTTCCAAATCTCTCCTGGAACTTTAAAGACAATATAGTGCCAAAAGAAATCTGTACTACTGGAAACAGAATTCCTGATAAAGGAACATGGTCTTTGGTTACTTAGCCTTTCCCAAGGGAAAAAAAAAGAGAGTTTATAACCTTTGGAAGAAGTGGCAGGCCACTCAGGAGGACTACAAGGATGTCGTGAGGTTATGCAGGGAGAAGATGAGAAGGGCCAAAGCCCAACTAGAACTTAATCTGGCTACTGCTGTACAAGGCAATCAAAAATGTTTCTACAAATACATTAACAACAAAAGGAGGGCTAAGGACAACCTCCATCCTTTATTGGATGTGGGGGGAAACACAGTGACAAAGGACGAGGAAAAGGCTGAGGTACCTAATGCCTTCTTTGCCTCAGTCTTTAATAGTCAGACCAGTTGTTCTTGGGGTACCCAGCCCCCTGAGCTGGAAGACAGGGACGGGGAGCAGAATGAAGCCCCCATAATCCAAGGGGAAAAGGTTAGCGACCTGCTACACCACATAGACACACACAAGTCTATGGGGACGGATGGGAGCCACCCAAGGGTACTGAAGCAGTTGGCGGAAGTGCTCACCAAGCCACTTTCCATCATCTGTCAGCAGTCCTGACTAACCAGGGAGGTCCCAGCTGACTGGAGGTGAGGTTAGCAGATGCCCATCTACAAGAAGGGCCAGAAGGAGGATCCAGGGACCTACGGGCCTGTCAGCCTGACCTCGGTGCGGTGCTGGGTTATGGAGCAGATAATCTTGAGTGCCACCACGCAGCACATATGGGACAACCAGGGGATCAGGCCACATCAGCGTGGGTTTATGAAAGGCACATCCTGCTTCACTAACCTGATCTGCTTCTATGACAAGGTGACCTACTTAGTAGACCTTAGTACTTAGAAAGGCTGTGGATGTTGTCTACCTGGACTTCAGTAAAGCCTTTGACACAGTTTCCCACAGCATTCTCCTGGAGAAATGAGCTACTCATGGCTTGGATGGGCGCACGCTTCGCTGGGTAAAAAACTGGCTGGATGGCCAGGCCCAAAGAGTGGTGGTGAATGGAGTTAAATCCAGTTGGCGGCTGGTCACAAGTAGTGTTCCCCAGGGCCCCTCACTACAAGAAGGACATTGAGATGCTGGAGCATGTCCAAAGAAGGACAACGAAGTTGGTGAAGGGTCTAGAGAACAAGTCTTATGAGGAGCAGCTGAAGAAACTGGGGTTGTTTAGTCTGGAGAAAAGGAGGCTGAGGGGAGACCTTATCACTCTCTACAACCACCTGAAAGCAGGTTATAGTGAGGTGGGTGTTGGTCTCTTCCCCCAAGTAACAAGTGATAGGGCAAGAGGAAATGGCCTCAAGTTATGACAGGGGAGGTTTAGGCTGGATAGTAGGAAAAAATAGGAAAACCCTTCACTGAAAGGGTTGTGAAGCATTGGAACAGGCTGCCCAGGGAAGTGGTTGAGTCTCCATCCCTGGAGGTATTTGAAAGACGTGTAGATGTGGTGCTTAGGGACATGGTTTAGTGGTGGGCTTGGTAGCGTTAGGTTAACAATTGGACTCAATGATCTTAAAGGTCCTTTCAAACCTAAATGATTCTATGAATCCTTATGTATATAACGCAGGTCAGTAAAGCATTTATATTACATGCTTCATTTTGAAAATCTTTAGGTCTGACCATTTCCAAGTAACACATATGCACATTCTTAAAATGTGCTTAATGTATTTGCTTACCTATAGCTTTTATCTTTACAGGATTATATGCCATTATAAAACAGAATAAGTATGTTAATGTGGCCAGGCCTTATTATTACATCACTATAAAATAGAAATCTTAATCCCCACTGTATTTTAAGTTTGAAAAATTAGCCTTTATTTACCTATCCCCCCAAACACTTACTCTTCATCTGAGTGGTGCTAAAGACATATTCTGTCCCAGAGTTTCTGCTTCTTACACACATTTACAATTCTAAACTGTACAGTTGTTACATTAGCCTAGAGTTTTCCAGAATCTTCTAGGAAAAAAAAAAAACCTACATATGGAACTTACGCTTTCAGCTCCTTAACATCCGGGTTACTTTCTGGTAAGACTCCTATTCCTCGACCATAACACGTGCCACCATGAAACTGAAAGGGTTGTGAAGCATTGGAACAGGCTGCCCAGGGAAGTGGTTGAGTCTCCATCCCTGGAGGGATTTGAAAGACGTGTAGATGTGGTGCTTAGGGACATGGTTTAGTGGTGGGCTTGGTAGCGTTAGGTTAACAATTGGACTCAATGATCTTAAAGGTCCTTTCAAACCTAAATGATTCTATGAATCCTTATGTATATAACGCAGGTCAGTAAAGCATTTATATTACATGCTTCATTTTGAAAATCTTTAGGTCTGACCATTTCCAAGTAACACATATGCACATTCTTAAAATGTGCTTAATGTATTTGCTTACCTATAGCTTTTATCTTTACAGGATTATATGCCATTATAAAACAGAATAAGTATGTTAATGTGGCCAGGCCTTATTATTACATCACTATAAAATAGAAATCTTAATCCCCACTGTATTTTAAGTTTGAAAAATTAGCCTTTATTTACCTATCCCCCCAAACACTTACTCTTCATCTGAGTGGTGCTAAAGACATATTCTGTCCCAGAGTTTCTGCTTCTTACACACATTTACAATTCTAAACTGTACAGTTGTTACATTAGCCTAGAGTTTTCCAGAATCTTCTAGGAAAAAAAAAAAACCTACATATGGAACTTACGCTTTCAGCTCCTTAACATCCGGGTTACTTTCTGGTAAGACTCCTATTCCTCGACCATAACACGTGCCACCATGAAGATGAAATTCTATATGTGAGACATCTTCATTGTCAGCATTTGCTTGTTTCGTATGAATACTGTAAATTCTCAGAAAACTTCCAATCTTAAAGAAAAAAAACATTGATAACACAAAGTTAGCTATTTACTTGGAAAATTCTAGGCCTCATAAAGCTTCATGCCTGTTTTCACTGAATCACAGAATAGCTGAAGTTGTCAGGGACGTCTGGAGACTGCCTAGTCCAACCCCCGTGCCCAATTAGTCAACTAGAGCAGGTTTCTTAGGGCTGTCTCCAGCTGGGTTTTGAATATTTTCAAAGATGGAGACTCCAAAACATCTCTGGGTGACCTGTTTGTTCTGCTTTATCAGACATTACTGGCAACAAAGGCTGATTCAGAACCAGCATAAGCCTTCTTACTAAATCCGATTCTCAAGCAGACTTCACAAGACAGATCAAACGAGCCAATATATTCTTTTCCTGAGGGCACAATTTGTCTTCTATATTCACAACACAGCCCTCCAGAGACTGATGTGCTGTGATTTGTCCATGTATGATCGCACTCAGCAATTGACCTCATGTCCATCATCATGCATGGCACATTATCTATTTATGTATACACGCAAACACATCTGCTTACCCACATTTCTTCTCCTATCTTACTCTTACATTACAGATAACATTTTTTTCAGCACCAGGACAAAAGGCAACACATGTTAGAAATTCAAAGATTTTGGCACTGTTCCTTACTCTGTTAGATTTTCTCCTCAGGTACATGGACAATATCCTTCTTGTTTTGCTTAGAAATATTTTGTGTTCTCTGAAACAGTTTTGTCAAGTTACATAAATAGACTGATTAGGTATTTGTATAAGCCTAAGAAAGAAGTTATGGAGTGCTGAACATTGAACACATCTTTATAACTTTGCTTTTATTTCAAAATCCCACTCCCATTATCCCTCCTCCCCACCTCCCAAAGAAAACCAAACCAAAACCAAGGTTCTAAAGGTAGATAATCTGGAGACTTAATTATATAGTTAATTTCCCTTTGATGTGTTTTAAAGGCCTTTGAATCAAATTAACTAGCACCCAAATATTTTTTTAAAGTATAACCTAAGATCCAGCTGATAGCTGGCAAGCTACACACATTCAATAACCTGGATTTACGTTCACTCTAAGTATCTTTTAAATGGCCCTATATAAATGATAAATTATTTTAAATTGACTTCAATTAACAGTAATATTACAGCAGCCAGTCTGTTAAGTCTTATCTCAGCTTCAGTGCCTGTTTTAATCAGTAGAAACCTAAAAAGTATTCCCACTAGACTGGATTGGCCAGATCTTAGTATGACACCTATAAATGTATGTGTATATGCATAAAAGCAGATAGAGTAGCATCTTGATTCAGGAATCCTCCTCTGTATCAAGGAACAGACAATGACTATATAATGCTGGTATCAAACTGCTCTTTTAAACAATAATCACACATGAAAAAGGCAGCATATTTTCAAATTCAGGCACCAGGGACATAAAAAGTGCACTTCAGCCTGCATCTATTTTGCTTCTGGCATGGAGCTCTTACCAAGGTTTTAATTGATCTGTCCCATTAGGGGATTGCTCATTTTGTTCATTCAAAGCATATCAACAGAACAGCTTGTGCATTTAGATGGCAGCTAAGAGGCTTATCTGAAGGCTTTTTTTTTTTTTTTTCTTTCCAGATGCTAAATTTCACTTAATTATGTTGAATATCCAAAAATGCAAGGGACAGTCATATTATAAAACTAAGCTAATGACTATGACAAATGCTTTTGGAGAAAGTTTTTTACAAGTTCTTAGCTAAGTTCTGCTTATCAAATAACCTTATGTCAATATAATAGAGCCAAACTAGTTGTTTTTTTTTTCCCCAAGAGTAATTTGTATATAAGCAGGAAAAAGTCGATTATAACTGAAGAATTTTTTTCATACAAAAACAATGTATGAAAAAACTAAGTATTCACTATACGTACAAACATAAAACATTAAACATAGGAGAGGAGAGCTCAGAAGCCAAGAATACAAAATGCTGGTTTTGCCTTCTAAACTTGTGTGCTGAAATTCATGCAAAAGTCAACCAAATTACGTTTTACTGCAACACTCAACTACCCAAGATTTATGATCACTATAAAAATATATATTCCTATATATGCATTTTATTAGATCACTTTTCTAAAAACGTTATTGTTCTATATATTTTAATATAACTTAGAACTATACTAAAGAGATGCATTATTATCAGCATTGCCAAATACTGAAAAAGTCCAGAAGGTTATGAATGTCAACACAGACCACCAGACCTGAATGTGCAAGACGACGTGCAATTTCCATGAATTCCTTTGGGAGGCAGCATTGCTTACTGTTAACAGCGGCGAGCAAATAGGGTTGTTACGGCTAAAAATGTTACTGTATTTTTATTGTTTACAGAATACCTGCAGACCAAGCACACTTTATATACTTGACTGAGAAGGAATTATAATCTACATTTAAGTAAACAACATGATTTACAGAGCCATCACTAAAAGCGAGTACAAAACCAATTCCTTACTTGACTTTACAGCTGTTCTGTTTATGAGCTACCTATCTCATTTAGAGCAAGTTCATTTAAAATTAAATTAAAGCAATAAGAACAGATTTCTTGCAGTAATATAAAATATACTAATACCCTACCTGCAGTCCAATTCAAACATGACTATTTTAAAAAAACATATTAAGGCTAAAAAGAATTAAAATGAAGAAGTCACATATGCAGTTCCCTGTAACTAGCCAACTAAAACAACTTTTTAGCATAGCAAATTCTTATAATTATTTGAAGACATATAGGACTGCATTCATATTTAAGACACTGATGAATTTCGAATGGTCATTTATCATGGCAGTTAAATGTTCACATTTGGCCAGAAAGACACTCATGAAAAGATGCTGTCTTTATCTACAGGAATCGCTTAACAAAATCATCTGTACTAGTTTTTATGCCTATTTTATGGCTGATGCCATTCAATGAGATTTCTTTGCCATCATTTTATCATATTGACAGTCTAATTTTACCAAGTAAACTGTTCACAACTTTTTGCAAATGACAGGAGGCATATCACAGCATTTGGGTGTGGTCCTTTGCAATAAAAAATACCAACTTAAATCCATTAAAGGATTTGAAGGACTTGCAGGTGAGATGGGGGGGGTGTTGTGGTTTGGGTTTTTTTCCCTTTAATGAGTACAAAGACAGAAGTGGGGAAAATACCACTGACAGTTCAAAGGAATGCTACCCAGGCCTGAAAAACATGAAGCTAGATATCACAGCCATGTAACTTAAATAACTTGCCGGCTGGAAATATGACTCAGACACTAGAAAAACAAGCAAGACTTCTTAGGCCAAACTACTATCAAAAAAGACATGACATTGTATACAGCGGGAGGAACAGCTGAAAATATTCAAATTCAGCATCTGAAGACACAGAACACGAAGGAAACACTGTGAAACTATGGACTAGGACTTGTCTGCATGCTCAAGGTTAATTGTTTTAATTGTACTATCCAGAAAACGCATGGCAACACAAAATTGATGGTATCAAGCCATAGGAGGAGTTGACAGTACCACATATGCAATGAATGACAGTACATAAGGAACTCTTCAGTCAGTTGTGGACAGCTGGACCCCTACTGTGCACTGCCTGACCAGTGATGCTGCCTCACCTTGATGATCACCATCTAGCAAAATGGCCCAGATGGAGAAACCCATGTCATAGACCTATTCTTGAGTTGTATGGCAAGGTCAGTGAATCCTGAGAACCTCTGGAAAAACTGGAATAAGAAAGGCTGAAGAATAACGAACTACAACCTATGGGGAGCAACTGTGCTCTGGAGAGTTAGTTGCAGGCTGGGGTTCCTAGAGTAACGAGAAAGCCTTATACACCCCAGGTAGCCAGAGGAAGAGGGAAATTTGGGAAAAAGCAGTGAACACCATTGCTTAGTTGTAGCTCTTGCTTGTGTCTTTACGCCCCAGGAAATAATCTGCTTCAGAGATGAGATTTCTGAAAATTCTGTTTGTGCTCTGCTAAGGCAGCAAATGCTGAAAAGCCACAGTCTTACCCAGCAGGAAAGGAAGATCAGTAAATAGAGGGGACAAAAAGTCTACTTATGGTATCAACTGTAGCTTACCTTCAATATTACTAAAGTTCTCTCCATTGAAAATTGTAAATATTATTTGACTGTCTCGGAAAATGGGATAAAATGCTCATATCTTCAGTGTCCTCTGGACAGACAATCCAAACAAGGAGCTTTTAAGAAACTCTTGCAGCAATATCCCTGACACTGTGCTCCAGGATTTGCTAAAAATTCACTGTAATACATTACCCACTTTCTCTAGACTGTAGTGCTTACTCAGAGCTTCCTTGTCTGAACATGTGTCTACAGATACAATTTTAAAATAAGAACCAATATTTCAGGGTTTGTTTTTTTTTTTTTTTCATCTGCCCTTCTTGGTATCGAGGCTGCGTAAAACAGATTGCTCCTACATAAAACATCATTTCAGAGCTGCAACTGTCATTGCAAATGGTACACGACAACATGGGAGAGTGTAACCTAACAATTCCATAACAATTTACATTAAAAAAGGCAATTCTAAGCTACTGTCAAATGCAGAAGAGATGGCTGAAAAATAGTGCACTTTTATTGTTTCTGAAACCATAAACTGGCAAAACATCTAGTACAGTTTCTGTCCACACTGTTCTTGTGTTCACACTCGGGAAGGTGCACATGCATACATTAAACACTCTCCAGTTTTCTACTTCTACATAAATAATTAAAAAAAAAAATCTTTGTGTAACAAGACCCTGAACTAAATAAAATATTATAATATAGAGTATTTCAATTTTACTTCCTTATGATACGACATGATTTCCACTAGTATTTAAAAACAAACGTTTTATTAAACCTTCCATTTTAGGAGAAGTCCCCAAAATTTTTATTATCTTTAAATTATTCTGTGTAATAAAACTAATTGCACATATTACAACCTGAACTTAATAAACCTTCCTAAAATTTAATTGTTAGGATATCAGCACTTTTTCTTCAATAACCCACTAAGACAATCCACTAAAAAGCAGTGTTCAAAAATGATCTAACTTAAAACTTCTACAGTTTGCATGAGTGAAACTACTGCAACTTTGGACATAGCCAGGAGGAGAAAAACAGCCCGTGTTGCTCAGTAGGTCAAACCAGGTTTCTTAACAGTGTCCTTCAACATTAGAGCTTCTGCTACACAGTACAGTATCCAGCAAAGGCACAGATGCTTTAGAGAGAAGAAAGAAAGGGCTTATACGATGGAAAAAGAAAAAAACAGAGAACTGATGAAGACATCACACGCACTACATATTCAATAGGAATTCCTGAATATAAATAGGAGAGACTAATAAAGGGAGTATCATCAGCTACTCAAGAAAATATATTTTATTAAAATATTTTTTCCCTTAATTTTCAAAACATATTGCTTCACTGGAACATCAGCAGTTAGTTATATCAATAGATTACACCAGTTAGCAAGAGAAAAATTCTGGAAGAGAACCTGTAAGTAATGAAATACTTCTGTAAGTAAGTTTTGTTATGAGTTCTTACACAAAGGCGAGTTATTTTGCTATCTGGCATTTACTTATGAACAGGAATTAATATATCAAATTGATTTCATGTCTGCTGATAGCACCAGCCTAACAAATGGCTATCACATATCTTTATTTTCTGGTAAACATTTTCTTAAAAATGATGCCTGGGTATAGAGGGCAAGGCTTAAAACGAAAGTTGTATTTTTTGCTAACACTGTATTCAGAAGCAAGATGGCAGTATTGCTGAAGATCAAATGTTTAATTATGTTTTTGCTTTCTCTGTCTAAGCATAATCAACATTACTGACCCACTAAATGAAGATTGCACTGCAAATTGCAGAAGTTTATAGAACAGAAAATCTTTTATTGACTTTAGAATTACAGGCCTATAATGGGACTACAAGTTTAACCCCACTTTATATCATTTTAAAAATAATTCTAAGGGATAGAATATATTTTCTGAGTGCATTATTTTCACAGGATTATATATGATATTACACTGTCTGAAAAGAACTGCTTAATTGGAAGAATTTTTTCATGGCAATTTTCGGGTAATGAGGCTGTTTTACACACGTTGAAGGAGTTCTGCATTCAAATAAAAGTTATGGGAAATACAGTGAAAAATAGAAAGGAACATTTGAAACTCATTAACAGCAGAACTGAAATGATACATTCTCTGAAGGGAATTCTAAGCAGAAAATAGGCCACAAAGCAAGAGTTAGAAATATCAAACTGCGCATTACCTTAAGTGATTTTGCCAGTTGTACATGGTTATCATAGACTAGAACGTCCACCGTTAGATTTCGCAGCTGATGAAGAAGAACTTTTTCTCCCTCCAGGTCTCTTGCTTCCACAGGCACCTTCCATGTTGGGTAGGGACATTTTGTGCCATCCCATACCTGCAATGCAAATGAACTATTTCAATATGTTCAGAATACTTTATATTGAGATTTTAAATAACTTTCATTTTTTTAAAACAAATTTGTTGTTTGATTAAAAATTTATGACAATAAGAAATCTTAATTGGACTCTCCAAGTCCTTTAATTACTTTAATTAGATATTATGGTTTTTTTTTTTAAATTATTATTCCTTACAGAGTATAAAATAGAGAATATGATCAAGTGTTCAGAACTGGGATTTGTTAATTTAAAAAAAAAAAATCAGCGCTAGCAAAACCTCAACTGCTTTTCCAGCAGTTACAGCTATTAGAATTCACCACATGCAGAACTGTCTATATTTAATATTTTAATACTGCTATAGGGTTTTTTAACCACTCCAGCTACAGTATGTGAAGATTGAGTACACAGCATATACTCCCTTAATTACTGATGATCTCCTACATCAGTATGCACTGCTAGTTATCCAGTACATATTAGAAAAAAATCAGTATTTAACATATACTTAATAACAACAATTCTAAAAATTGTTTGCCTAAAACTAAGTTCTTGATACACTTAAGTATTGAAATAGTAATAGAGTTATTTTTGAGCTATCAAAGTTGTTGTGAAAAAGTAACATTACCAAGAGACTTACCACTTTGGAACCAAAATCTTCCTACTTAAACCAAACATTAAAATTTCAGTGATAGCTGCTTATGATATATTCTGTAAACTATGGTTTCCTGAATTCCTGAAGATACACTCTTCTCAAAGACAACAGAAATAATGGTCTGAAATACTGACATACAAAAAGAAAAATCTAGAGGCATTTAGACTACAAGACTGAAATGCTGCATTTCACATGATTTCATGCATGTAGGTTCAACAGAAGCTAACTTTCAAACAGTCTGTGATACCAAGGCATTTTTTCCCAGGAGTTAGGCACTGCAGAGGGGGAGAAAATAGGACACCAAAGCTTAATTTTTAAAGGGTTTCTACCCCTTATGCTTAACTGCTGTGGATCAAAGGACCCACAGGAAAAGATCTAAGAATCAGCAAAGCCATGTGTAAATACTCTGAGAATAACTCATGGTTGAAATACTCATCCCAAATCAAGAGATAAAAGGGAAAACTGTTCACAGTGAAAATGATCCATAACATCAAATTAATGTTCCCAAATAAGAGTGTACTCTGAAGGACCCGGATAATGAGGTGGTACATGCTGCCACAGATTTAAAAAAAAAAAAAAAAAAAAAAAAAGCCTATTATCTTCTGATCCTGTACCATGAAATACTTAAAACCACCTTTGAAAGAGAGGTTGCCCATTGCTTGAATTATCCAACTTTGCCGTCTTCACTTTACTCAAATTATGGATGAAAACGCAGAAGCCCTGGTTTCAAAAACCAACGCTGGTCTAAAAACCAACACTGATTAAATTAATTCTGGATAAGAAACAGCAAATGGTTCTATTACTAGTCATCAACAGACTGGAGCTAAGGAATAGTTAGCGACAACCTTTGATCACCATGGTCGGCAAAACACTGAAATGGGAGGAGACACAATGAAACCTGTTTCTCTCTTCAGCAGAGGATGCTAATTGTATGACATAGCTTAACGTAGACAATTTAACTGACAGACCGAAGGAAAGAAAAGAATAATAGTAAAACTCTTATAAAAGGCATAAATGACAGAATAATTTCTAGTGTGAGTTTTTTAGTCTCCATCAGTTTGAAAAACAAAATCCTCAGAAAAAGGTAAGCACTAACAAGTTAGCGATACCATCTTTATGCCGTGTCAGCCTGAGGTGCTGTGCATATCCCAATTAATTTATCAAGTGTAATACTAAGAGCTATGTTATGGGTGATGCACAAAATCACTGAAATTCTTTTGAGCTGTCTTTGAAGCAATCCCCACTAGTTACATGAGCTCAATGCTTAAAATAATAATTATATTTTATAGTACAATCAACCATTAATATAACTGATATGCTTGGAAAGACATAATAAATTTAAATCATTACTATAAACATATAACCACAATAATATAACAATAATATTTAATGATCACTCCATTTGAGCTGGTATTGAATTTGTTTTTGGTTTTTTTTTTTGTTGTTGTTGTTTAGCGAATCAACAAAATAATCAGAAACCTGCCTACAATTTTTTAAAAAGGCTTCTCTTCTATCATGACCAACATTTGATATGAGAAAGGGATTTTGCCAGGCTTGAAAAATGGAGGAAATTAGCAACAGCATACCGATGTTAATCTACCATTTTTAAGCTTGTCTGATGTATTTTAATACAGATTTAAGTATTTAATATTTTATACTACTAAAAGAAATATACTGTCAAAGGAATTCCGCATCAGAAAAACTGATATATCATTATTTGATTTCAAACTTTTATCCTCCTAAGCCTATCCTAAGTCATTATATTTACTATACAAAACTGACAAAATCAACTTCAGATCTTACAACATAGAAAAGAGTGTAAAGAAATATTAATAATTTAAGAAAGCACTTGTCTCTGTCCTTGCAAAGGGTCCTTCAATGCTGAACATATACTTATTAATGAACAACTTAATTACAGTCCACAAAGTTCTGAAATTTTACTAGGTCTCATTTGACATCTGTTTCACAAGGGATAATTAAACAAATATTTCTAACAGCTGCAAAGCATATTATAGGATGACACTTAAGGTTTTTTTCTGTGTAGTGCACGCATTGTTCTGCACGAGAAAAATCTTTTCTGCTTTAATGAAGGAATAATGCAGTGTGCTGTTTCTAAAAATGTTGTAACAATACAGCTTAATACAGTAGAACCAATAAATAATTTTATGAAGTCATAAAATGGAAAATAATAGGCTGTTTATCACTCACATTTTAACAATAAACTTATAAAAGAAAGAAAAAGAAATACAGAGGAGTTTCAGAATAATACCAGACTGATACATCTGGAGCTAAAACCAGGAAAATTAATGCAGACCTCCTTTTTTATTTAGCTGATGTTAAGGATCACCCTTGGAAAGCACTCTCCTGTTGTACAGCACTTTGCATTTTGTACTTTCAGTGAGCACTGATCCCCAAAGCACTTAAGTGTAACTAAAAGAAGCTACCTAAAATCCATCAAGATAGACAACACAATACATTCATTCATTTTCTAGATAGTGCTACTTACTGCATTAATTATATCCAGCAAATCTAGAAAAATGAGAAATAATTGCTGCTAACTAAAAAACAAGGTTAAAATTTAGAACTAACAATATTTTTCAACTTTAAGAAAGCTTGCAATATTTATCTACAAATGTTTGTGAAACGATGATCCATACCAATGCCATCTTACAAAACCTCTCTAAAGAAATAAATCTGATGAACAACTTCAAAGACAACTGGGATTTCTGTTTTGTTTCCATAGAAATAAAATGGTCAAGGATCATAAATTTGCTTAACCTCGAAATATTTATCTACATAACATTATTTAAATCAATGAATATGTCTGTTTTATCAAAAACCGAACCATAGTGTCTTAATAAATAAATCTACAAAAAATAAATCTACCTTTAGAAGAAAAGAAGATCCATCCACTTTTGCTTTTCCTACCAGCTGGCAAGTGAGATCAAAGAACAGCATTGGCTGAACACCAGACAATTTTGCTGCTGGTCCAGAGATGGAAAGATTACTGGCTGCCCAAACACGTAATTCTTCTATTGTCTTTTGTTCTTCATCCATGAAAGTGTACACTTTGCTAGAAGTTCGAGGAACTATTGGTGCTCCTACAGTTCCATCAAATGTCAAGGATGCAAATCCCACACTGGTAATTCCCTGCATCTGTCCATTGTATTCCCTGATCTATAACAAAATATGAAGAAAAATAAATAAACGGTTGCACTGCATCGAAATATACATACGGTTCTGTTTTATCATGTGCATGAAGAAAGGGCCATTGATCATTTTTTGTTCTTGGTGCTATTAGGAGAACGGAGTCAAAACAAAAACAAAACAAAAAAAGGAAATTAACATTAACAAGAAAACAAAGTGAATAAGCAGAAAATATAATCTAACACAAAAAATTTTTTAAAGAGGCAGACTAATACCTACCTGTACATATACAGCATCAGTGCAAAGTATTTTATTCACAAATCTCAAAATGTTTGTGTGGGGAACACATCAGGATTGCTTTTACAAGTGGGAAAACTGAGGTGCAAGAGAAATGAAATTTTAGGGGTCACACAGCAGAGTGCTGGCAGAGCAAAGTTATTACGGATTCTTGTTTTCTGCCTCTCACAATAGCCCCGTTTCCTGATATTATGGAACTGAAAATGAACATATCAGTTCTAGGAGCTATTTTTTTTTTTTTCTATAAAGCAAACAGTGACCAGCTTTCATCCCTTGAATTATGAATACAGCTTTCACAATTACTCTTATGTCTACTGCCCTACACGTGGCAGGTTCCCTGTATCCTGCTGATTTAGCTATGTATCTGCTACCATACAAAACACAGTGTTCAAAGTCTGAAGCATTCCTTCAAGGATCTAGTCTAGTCTTCTTGTTCCCTGCACTTTATCTATCTATCTATCTATATCAAAGCACTGTGTGACTCATTATCCAGAAATCTCAAACCAGCTGTTTTGATCCATCCTTTTTTAATTAAAACTTGCTTACCAAAAAAGCAACAAGACTTCAGAATATAGCACTTGTGAGACGATCTAGTTCAGGATTCCCAGTGCTCAATTTTCAAATGGTTCAAAATCCTACTGATTCAAAAGTGCAGAATCTGGAGAATGTGACAGAAGTTCTAAACAGCAACATTTTTTACCAAAACATTGCCAATGATTTAGGCCTATATTTTATAAACTCACTGAAATTTAAAAAGCACACAAATCAAGTATTCCTTGGCAATTCACAAACAATGCAGTTCAATCTTGGTGACAGGAACTCCTTTAATCCCTGCTACTTTGACATAATGCATAAATGCATTAAGGATCATCTCTAGGATAAACTTTCATTTACTTAAGCATTCTCCAGATCTGACCAATGGAACACATCCATTCATGATGTAGTTTTTCTTCATTGTAACACTGGAAAGCTTTAGTCTTTTAACCTTTAGGTTTAAATATTGAAAATACAAGAAAAGCCAATGGACAAATCAGGAAAATACATAGTTTCATAATCAATTCATGCCCATTACCCATGATCTGGAAAAAAATGTTCCACTATAACACTAAGACGTTATCTAATATAAATACACAGATTTACTTTAGTTGCTTCCACTGTCATTATATTCCATAGCTTCCAGAAGAGAGGAAAACTCTCTTTCATCATTTTTCCTCATTCATGCGCTATCAAAAGGTACTTCAAGCATATTTTTAAGTATCTTGTCTGACATGTCAAATGATTCTCACAGTGTTTTAATTTCCAATTTACCTACTTATTTATTTTTTCACTAATTCTTTTAAATCGTGATCAAAATATCTTTACTTCTTTCTTACTAAAAATTCTGTCCTAGACCTCTAGCCTATTTATGAGGGCTCTAAACCTTTCAGGAAACCAGTTCAAGAAACTACTTTGTCTCCCTGGGCTTCCACTAATATTTGACCACAGACTATTTTCCCCATTTCCCAAATGCTTTATGTCATGTTTTGAGCATTCATGAGGCTGTGCTTGAACATCCTGTATTTCTGACATCTCCTAGTACCCTCATTTAGTGGATAAGAAATAAAATATTTAATAAGGTAAACCTGAAGTGTCATGGTGAGAAAATTACCAGTGATCTTGAAGCAAAACCAAATGTCCTTTAGGCATAGGTATGTGGAGAAGCCACTGAATGGTCTCAGAGGTAAAAGCGTTCAACAACATTATTTAGTGAACAACAGAACAAACAGGAAAAGTAAATGTAGAATGGGTTACAGAACAAAATATTTCATAGCTGGAAAATTACTTATGCCAGACCCACAGAACAGATGACGGTCAACAGAAATTCTCTGGGCTTGTCCTATAAAAACAAATCATTGCTAAAGTGATGAGGAATCACTGGAGTGTAAAATGAACAAAATCCATGGGCAAATGTTGTTTCGTTATGGCACTCTAAGTAGATCTCAGATCAAGTTAAGCAGTGATACACTAAACTACTTATATTTTCCACACACAAATGATTTTGAAATTGAATTAACCTTAGGGAAAAGAGTTAATCTGTGACTTTTGTATACGATGACAATTCCCCCTCAGTAGATTTTATGTTATTTCTAGAGGCCTTGGGGATTTTTTAAAAAATAAGGGGAGGAGGGGAGAACAGGGAAGGTAGGCAGATGGCTATCACTTTAAAAATTCCCTGAGAATTTTAAATAAATTCAATAAATAATGGTTGCTAAACAAAAATATATTCTGGGACAAAAACAGAGCAGATACAATGTATTTAGCTTGTTCTAAGGAGGTAAGTAAACTCCAATACATATTCTGGGAGTCTTTGGCATAATTTTTATAAACTAAAGAACAAAAGGTGAAATGTCACCTCAACAAACTGCATGAACTCTAGTTTATTACAACTCTATCCTGAATATGCTCATTGAAAAGAAGCTAATCTTGAAATATTTATAAATAGATTTCCAGCAACATAAACCACCTGAATTTTTTTTTTTTTCTGAAGCTGGTGTTATTCACCTCACTCAATGGAAGAGAAAAGCGTGATAGTAAGCAGTGTATAAAGCTGGAATAATAGCATCTCCATGGTAGTTTTCCATCAAAACTGATCGTTAAATTGCAGAAGCAAAGGACTATTATGAAACTACTGTAGTCACAGATCATCTTAGAATATAAAAAATATGCCCTGTAAAACAACATATACTAAGCTAATGTACATATTCTTACACTGAGAAGGAAGATTTCCTAAAATGAATTCCACTATTGATTTGTGGAAGGATCAGGAAATCAAGATAATATTTTGAAACATGAGTACATTAAGCTTAAAACTTGATTATTATTTATACATACAAAATTATTTCAAGACATTAAGTTTTGTTGTGGTTTGTTTGGTTTTTTTACTTAAATTATTGCATTGTCTGAAACGCACTGTCCAAACTCCTGTTCCAATTTGAGTGTACATTCAGCTGAAGACCTCATTGTAAGGTATCTTTTACCTAAGCAGAAGTAAAAAACTTATGATCCCTGTGATTCATGGTTGACAACAAAACAACAGAAGATCAAGGTTCACATGCTGCTACGTAGTCTTCTCTTAACTGCAGAAATGGAGTATATATGAGATGCTAGTAAAAAGGAAAGACAGAGTGCAAAATTGTCTACAGGCAATATATCCGCAAGAATGATAGTTACTGTGGTGAGCAATGTATTCCCCTCAGTTAAACACATGTATACAAGCACATGCCATTCTGTGTGACACAAACAGGATTCAGTTGACACAGAAGCAAGATATCTTATGCAAATAAGCAGTGACAAAAAAACCCTACACATGGATTATATTTCAAGTGAAACTCCATCCCAAAACCTATACAGGAGCTTGGGATAGTGCAAATAAAAGAACACAATATACTAGGTGCCACACACTCTTCTAATTTGTTCTTACAAATGATGGCTATGAAAAAGGATTTCTTTCTAGTAGGTGGATAAAAAAAATTTACCTTATGCTATGGGATGGGAGTTCCAAGTCAACAAGGGATGCCCTTCAATTCTTCCCATTCACTCACCACCTTACACAAAGTTTTAGAGACAGATCACTGCACTTTAACTTGAAAAATGGTCTAGAATAGCTGGAGCAGATACTTGATGGAAAAACATAAACAAATAAAACATAGGTTTTCCATTGTGTCAAGACAAAAAATAGGTCACTTAGACAATATTTAGCTTATTTCCTTGGGTTCTTTGTTTTCTATTTTTGGCTGGACAGGTAGCCAACACAGAACTGAATGGCATCTAAGAGCCACTGTCCCAAGATAGCACGGGTTTCAGACCTGACTGAACTGAACAACAAAGCCTTTGAAACTTGGAAATACCCCATAAGTATTGCTTACCATTTGCGCAGTGATGGGTTATAAACAAAGGTTGCTTTCTCCTGTTAAATGGTATTACTTTATCAGCGGTTAGAATAATAGAATCATAGAATCATCAAGGTTGGAAAAGACCCTTAAGATCATCGAGTCCAACCGTTAACCTAACACTGCCAGGTCCACCACTAAACCATGTCCTCGAGCACCATACCTATCCGTTCTTTAAATACCTCCAGGGATGGAGACTCAACCACTTCCCTGGGCAGCCTGTTCCAATGCTTGACCACCCTCTCAGTGAAGAAGATTTTCCTCATGTCTCATCTAAACCTCCCCTGGCGCAGCTTGAGGCTGTTTCCTCTTGTTCTGTCACTCGTTACTAGGGAGAAGAGGCCAACCCCCACCTCACCACAACCTCCTTTCAGGTAGTTGTAGAGAGCAAGAAGGTCTCCCCTCAGCCTCCTCTTCTCCAGACTAAACAATCCCAGTTCCCTCAGCCACTCCTCATAAGACTTGTGCTCCAGACCCTTCACCAGCTTCGTTGCCCTCCTCTGGACACGCTCCAGCACCTCAATGTCCTTCTTGGAGTGAGGGGCCCAAAACTGAACCCAGTACTCGGGGGTGCAGCCTCACCAGTGCCGAGTACAGGGGCACTATCACCTCCCTGGTCCTGCTGGCCACACTATTCTTGATACAGACCAGGATGCCATTGGCCCTCTTGGTCACCTGGGCACACTGCTGGCTCATGTTCAGGCGGCTGTCAACCAACACCCCCAGGTCCTTTTCCGCTGGGCAGCTCTCCAGCCACTCC